CTCTCTCTGTCATTTTGTGCTGCTTCCTCTCTGTCAGTCTCTGCTGCTTCCTCTCTGTCAGTCTCTGCTGCCTCCTCTCTCTGTCATTTTGTGCTGCTTCCTCTCTGTCAGTCTCTGCTGCTTCCTCTCTGTCAGTCTCTGCTGCCTCCTCTCTCTGTCATTTTGTGTTTCTTCCTCTCTGTGTCACTCTGTGCTGTTTCTTCTCTGTGTCATTTTGTGCTGTTTTCTATCTGTCACTTTGTGCTACTTTCTCTCTCTTTGTCACTCTATGCTGCTTTCTCTCTGTGTCACTTTGTGCTGCTTTATCTATGTGTCACTCTGTGCTGCTTTCTCTCTCTGTCACTCTGTCCTGCTTTCTCTCACTCTGTCACTCTGTGCTGCTTTATCTATGTGTCACTCTGTGCTGCTTTCTCTCTCTGTCACTCTGTGCTGTTTCCTCTCTCTGTGTCACTTTGTACTGCTTTTTCTCTCTGTCACTCTGTGCTGCTTTCTCTCTCTGTGTCACTTTGTACTGCTTTTTCTCTCTGTCACTCTGTGCTGCTTTCTCTCTCTGTGTCACTATGTGCTGTTTCCTCTCTGTGTCACTTTGTACTGCTTTATCTCACTGTCACTCTGTGTTGCTTTCTCTCTCTGTGTCACTATGTGCTGTTTCCTCTCTCTGTGTCACTATGTGCTGTTTCCTCTCTCTGTGTCACTTCGTGCTGCTTTGTCTCGCTGTCACTCTGTGCTGCTTCCTCTCTTTGTCTCTGTGCTCTTTGCTGCCTTCATACAGTATGATGGGTCATGCTCTGTGTTGCCTCTGTGTAATGGTTTGCATTCTGTGCTTCTTCTGCATGTCAGTTTATGCACTGCACTGCTTCCTCTGTATGGCAGTTTGCGCTCTATATGTTGCCTCAATATTCAGTTCAGGGACGAAAATGTCCCCTGAGCTCAAACTTTGTATTACTTTAAAAATAGGTTGTGCCTTTTCTTCTCCTTCAGAGTATGCACTATATAGGTGTGCCAGCCTTGATCATTTACCTTTTCCTGGATTGTCTTTAAGGATTTCTCAGCATGCCAGTCGCATTCATCTGCACTCAGCATTCTGCTGCGTTAACCTCATCGCGTGTCCCTGTCCCTGTCCCAGGGAGACCCCTTTATGATGCTGCTGCATTTTGCTCCATATGGGGGAAGTAGGTCACCATTTCCTTTTCTTCCCTCAATGACAGGACTTGGTTTAATTTGGTTGTGCAGAAGCCTCTCTGATTGGATAGCTGCTGATGGGAGAGGAAGTCAGGTCTCTGTCTCTACTGAAGTACGTGTATTACTCTGTGACCACTGGTGGCTATTACTCTGTTTTTCCCCCCGCGATCACCTGCATTCTGCTGCACAGGGATTAAAAACATATTTCCTTTATATTAGACACTATCTGCTTCACATTGGTGTAATAGAACACTTCTAACATTCATTATTAACGCGTGTAAATGTTGTTTGCTTATTGAGGTAACACAGGATGACCGATTATTATAGTGTCATGATGGTGAAACATTTCCCTCAATTCCCAGCACCCCAAACTACACCAGTCACTGTTGAAGTCGTCATTGTTACGTTTCAGCTCAGACCGATTAATATATTTTTAGCTTTAAGCAACTAGCAGTGAATTAAATGCAGCGAATTACTTCCTGAATTGGTACCAGTAACTTACGTCGGCAAACAGGATTAGTTAAAAATAGTTAAAGGGGCATCTGTGAAAAGAAGAGATGGTAAGTATCAGGGCTGCAAGGCTCCTGAATGAGTAATTAAGCACCGTTAGCAGTGAAATAACCAGCCACAGACACGCCTTTTACGAGGGGGGGGGGGCACGCCTTTTTATTGTGCTCAGAGCGTTGGTAGTACTCAGCGTGGCTATTTCTTATTTTTATGTATTTTATTTATATATTCTCCCCACCACACAGAAGGTTACTGTGGGATTTGTTCTGATGCATCAGCAGCTGCTGTTAGCAAAACCTTTTCGTTTGTTCTGTTTTTTTTCTGTTCTTCCGCTTCATCATAACAAGAGCCTCTGTGCTTCTCCCACGATGTCAATTTTGGTGTCAAGGTTTCCATTTAGGAAGCTTTGGATTCACATTGCAGGACTGCATTTATACCCAAAGGGCTGTGATAACTGGGCCAGTGTGATAGAGGCTTGTCTGTGGTAATAGCAGGCTACCTCCTCGGGGTAGTCAGTTACGCATTAAACGCTGTGCTTCTAGGGAAACGAACAAACCGTATCGCAAATGGGTACAAGAGGGGCAGTAATTTGAGGGTAACGCTTGCTATTCCTGTCTCTTCTCTGTTCATGTTGTGCTTTATATACTTTTTCCCCCAGCCGTTTATATAAAGCTCATTAAGCAGCTGGATATTTTAAAGGCGGAAGTACGTCATTGTATTCTGTCCCTGTGTGGCCTCTCCAAATTTTTTTCATTTTGTGCCCTTAACCACTATGCCACCTGCTGGTGTAGTGTAGTCAACACACCATTATGCCCACATTAAAGGGTAAGACGTGTGTCTTTTGTGCAGATCCTTGTTCCATGTCCCGACCTCTTCTTCCAGGAGTGCGTGGCCCAGGGTGTTGTGCCGGTGATTATTATGTTTTTGTTAGCTGGGCTGGCATGGACTCTCGTGGCTAGCGCGGCCCTGAAAGCCGCGTGGACAGGGGTGAAGTGTGTAAGTCTCACACTCCGCTTTCCCTTCACCTGCTGAGTTGCTGTGCTGTTTATCGGCCGGTGATGAACCGGCGTACTTAAAAGAGCCACCCAGGCCGAATCTGGGCAGATTCCACGCTCCTGTTTTTGATTTCAGTTGAATGTATGGTTTTGAAGCACGGCGCCCCAGTGATGCATTTGGCAGCATCGCTCACATGACTATACTCACTGCATTTGGCAGCATCGCTCACATGACTATACTCACTGCATTTGGCAGCATCGCTCACATGACTATACTCACTGCATTTGGCAGCATCGCTCACATGACTATACT